TTGTTTAGGGCCAGAAATAAGAATAGTGAGGAGAAGGTACTTTCTCTTCTGACACAACCATGTTGGGATGTTGTACATGGTCAAGATCACTGGCCATGTGCTGTGGTCGCGCATCCTCTCATTGAAGGAATTCATTCCATCGGTGCTCAAGCCAAACCGTACATTTCTTGGGTTATCGCTGAATTCTTTGTGCTTCTCATCAAACCTTTGCCATTGACTACAATCAGCCGGGTGTGCAATCTTATCATTATCCACCTTGCGCTCATCATCCCACCATGTCATGAGTGCGGCTTCTTTAGGGTTTAGGAAGATACGTCTCAAGCTGTCGGTCACTGGCAGGTACCACGTTACCAAGGCAGATATTCTTCTCTGCTTTGCATCGTTGCCTAATGGAGTGTCCTTTGGGGGCTGAGATTCTTATACCACATTTTCTGTACCCTTCTTATTCCTCTTTTTCCCCGTGGAGGCTTTGTCCCCATCGTAAAGGTCATTGTTCTTGTATCGGCTGGCCCCACACCGGGGACATTTATCTAGTGACTTGAACGTTTCGCCACGAAAAAGTATACAGTGGTTGGGGCATGCATGGATTTTTTCAACCCCCATTGTCAATGGACTTATGACCTTCTTCGCTTGGTATGTGTTGGTGGGAACTGAGTTTGGTTGTGGCAGCACCCATGACAGGAGATGCAATAGATCATTGAAACTACAGTCTAACCAGCCGTACTTAGCCTTCAGAATGAGCAGCTCAAGCACAAAACGTAGCAATGTCCAATGTGTCAGACAACCCTTTTCAACACAATACACAGTCTCCTTCGACGCTTTTGTCACCCTTTCCAAATTTTCTAGACCTTTCGGGCTATTTAGTAAAATCTCTAGTCCAAGGGCTCGAATCATGTCCTCCAAATCATCTTCATCCCCGACACGTGCTCCACTATCATCATTGGCACCACCTTCGTCGTTACCATCCCAACCACCAGCATCACCACCTTGTTCATTGCCAAACTCGAAATCCATTCGGGCATCAAGCTTTGCTGAATATTGGGACAGGGATTCTATGGTTTCGTCGTCGTATTCCTCCTCATCCTCGTCGTTAACAATAACCGTTTCACCATGATGAATCTACACTGTGTAGTCCTCAACAAATCCTCGCATAATCAAATATGATCTGATGATAGTCACATATGTCCATGCCATACAGTTCTTGCAATCTTTACATGGGCAAATAATTGTATCCTTATTCTCTTTCAATGTCGTTGCAAGCTTCTTTGCAGCTTTAATAAATTTATCCACCTCTTCATGGAAACCTGCCTTGAACCTTAGTGAACCATACATCCAAGAGTTCCTGTACTCCATCTTTTACAACAACAACAAAACAAATATTAAAGGACTACTTATTCAGATATATATAAAAATGAAACAAATTAATAATTACTTGAGAATAATTGTATATACTTCAGATATATATGAATATAAATCTAATATAATTACATGAAGCATACAAAGACACCATGGTAAAGGAAAATTAATTAATGGCCCATTTATCCATAAATAATTAAAATACATAATTATTGATTACAATAAACAATTTCAAAGACAACAATTAGCAACAATTATACTTTACCCAATATCTTTCATACAAACCCTAGTCCAATTTCATCAAACATAAATTTATAAAAACGAAATTAATAAAAAAACCAAACCCTAGATCTAGATCCACATGCACATGAAACATCCATAAAACTAATTAATTGTTCACTAAAATCAAGAAACATGGACCAAATAAGGGTATGATCTTGTTCCCCTCCCTAATTTACCCTAGTACATTTAAAACTTGGGTCTAATTTGCTTCATAAGTAGCTCAAGCACCATAGAAGAGAGAGAAAAATAAAACTCTAATTACACACTAACCAACCATTAAAACTTTAAAAAAAAGTATGGAATAGCATTTTCTTACCTTCTACAACCTCTCCACCAAAGAATTTGAGACCAAAACCTTCCTACTTAGTAGAGCAATTTTTTGGGAGGTGTCCAAGGCCTCCCCATCTTTCTTTCACGGGTTGGAGTGAGTGACCCGAGGAGGAAGAAAGTGTTGCATCTATTTTATATGGGGGCATTTGTAGGGGCGGCTCAATCACCAGCCGCCCCTACAAATAGCATTTCCAGCGGCGGCTGGTGATTGAGCCGCCCCTACAAATCAGACCCCATTTGTAGGGGCGGCTCGTAACACCAGCCGCCCCTACTGTTCCATTTGTAGGGGCGGCTGATGTCTGGGCACCCAAGCACGCCACTGTAGGGGTGGCTCCATCACCAGCCGCCCCTACAAAAAAAATCAAACCGTTGCTAAAAATCGTTTTTTACGTAGTGATAGTCTTTAAGACAAAGATTAGATCTATTAAAAACATATTGGGTCTTAATTATGATTTTATGGGAGATGGTTGGTCTTAGACGGGGATCACATAATTGTGGTGATTTTGGAAGGGAAAAACAAAAATTCATACCTACACAATTTTGGGTGAACAAAGAGAAGGCAGTGCAATGTCTGATTTTTTTTAACAGAAACCATGGGAATGTCTGATTTCTTTTGTTAATCCAAAGGCCTCTTATGCATTACCCTTTGTTTTTTAGCCAGCCACTGATATGTGCTTGTTACACTTTTAGGATATACGCTTAGGATTGCACCGATCAGACTAAATGCAAGATTCTGAAACCAATTCACTACTATAAATTGGGTTCAACACTAATTCATCATCCTTTCCTGGCCTTGGCTCCCTTGTTAGTGAACTTCACAGTCAACTTACTATCCATTCTTCCTCTCTCATGGCATAATTATCCTGCTTTGTTTTCTTTGGTGAGTTCTAATTATATCCTGATAATATTTTTTTCCACAACAAGTCTACTCACTGTGATGAATGTTGAGATATTTCTTGTGGCAAGCACCAAATAGCGTGGGTAAGTTCCCTTGAGTTGAAAATTATTTTGGTATAGCCGCAACATCTTTTTGCACTACGAACAAATGATTCAATTATTTAGTTTCTATCATACACATGTTCATAGGTAAATGATGTTTACTAAGTGAGATGATAGAGAATTTAATATTTTATGTGTTTAATACATGTTCATGTTACATTAACAAGAAAAGAAAGAATGTGTGTGTTTGTTCATTAGAAGCTAATTATTATAGTTGTGTAGATATTTTGGATTTTGTTTTTACAAGGAATACCTCCAACATACTTAAAAGTAATAAAATCTATTTTCCAACATTCCAGTTCATCATCATTACTATTTGACATAATGCTGGCACCCCTGAAATTTATTGACAAACAAAAGTGGATAGTAAACTATATTTCCCTCTATTCACCAACAACATAGTAAGGATGATTTTTCATAATTTCCAATCTCCATCCACCACAATTATGTGAACCCCATGTAGAACATGTCCCTATTCTATAATGGCAACAGCTTTGATATAGCAAGGAAATGACAATGGCATCATTCTTCTTATGTGCTATGCAACATAAAACCATTCAAGGAGCCTATCTAGAACATTATAGAACATGACCCCTGTAACATTGCATACGAACACAGAGCGAAGCTACTTCAAACTAGACGTAGGGCACCACGTGCCTGAACTTGTATAATCCATGTGTCTTGTGTGCTACCCATCTGATTCATCTTACGCGAATAGTTGCTAGGTATTGCCGGAGCTAATTCTTCCGACAAATTTCATGTGACATATCTTGAGAAGTTAGCATTTTTGGTAAAATGAAATCTACTAGAATTAGGTGATACATTTGTTGCTGCTTGTATTTATTCCTAATCGTACTAGTGGACCAATAGATATATTAAGACAATTGAGAAATTTAATGCATGTGCAAGACCATATGCTAGTTATAGAACTTGCAAATCATACAATGAGCTAAGAAAGGGATAAGAAAGTAGCATTAACATATCTCGATTTTTTCAAGAATATATCACAATGGAAATTAAATTACCATTCAAATTGTATTCCCACATTTAACATCCTTGGCTATTTCCTCATGACTTTTCTTTATGAAATTTGAGGGTCAAGGCCCTATACATCCTTGAGCTTAATCCCTGGCCCATCACCATCGAGCTCACCTGAGCGAGGAGGGAGAAGGTTGTCACAACCTATGTCCACCCTCGCCATGGACGAGCTCATCAATGGAGTGGCCGTTATAAACAACAATGACAACACCACAAGTGAGTTCATGCAACAAAACAATAGTGCAACACTGAAAATTTTCCCAAAGATCGTCATCTCTCTGTCGTCCTCACCATTCGTTCCACCCACACCAGTGGTGGTTGCAGCGACAGTGTCTGCCTTCTCCATGAGCAGCGGTGGTGGCTGCGCACGATGGATTTGGGAGCAAGCCCGATGGTAGAGGAAGCAAGATCGACAGGTTTCATTAGGGGCAAGAAGGAAGTGACGGTAGAAACAAGAGACAAAGTAGGGATAAAAAAGACTTGGGAATGACCATGTTGGTGGGAGCTATGGAGGCGTTTGATATTTTCTTCGTGTGCCTCGTTGGGTGGATAATGTGCATAGCATGAGGTCATGTAGTTTCCATACGAACTCACGGCGTCCGGACGTTCTAATCACAACATTATTGCTCATTTGAATTGAGTTGTTGAAAACTCTTTTATATAGCACAAAAACATATTCAAATTTTCTTTGACAACATGTGGAAACACACGAAACAATATTGTGAAAAAATTAAAACCAATCATCTGTGGTCGTATTTGTAGATGCTTGGATGGAACATAATATCCCTAGAAGAACAACATGTTGGCAGATTTGTTCATCATAACCCACCCCTTGATCTCCTCCATCAGTTTGATCTGGACGAACAAAGGCCCGCTCGCAAACTCGCCACACACCTCATGGACAGCTGGGGCGTTGCAGAGCAAGAACTTAGCGAGCATCCTCTGCGCCATGCCCCCCTGGTAGTGCACGAAGTTGATCTCCTTCATCCGCTTCCTCAAGCAAGGGAGCTCAGTGGCCAGCACGACGAGTGACGCGTGCTCGTCGTACTTGAGCATATGCCCATGTGGAGCTCCTCCCCATGGTGGCCATAATGCTTATTTTTGGGCTCAGGCTCAGGCTCTGGCATGAAGAACAGAGTCAGTGTCTCTAGGTTCGGGGTCCGCTCCAGGATCCTGGCCACCGCATCAATGGCGGTATCGTCGTCTTCGGGCAGTATACCGGTGAGCTCGAGGTGCCGGAGCTTTGCGAAGGCGGGGAACGCAGACGGCAATAGCGCGGCGGCACCACAACCAAGGCGCGCGGACGTGAGTTGCAAGCGCTCCACGCCGACGAATAGCTGGAGCATGTCCCCGAGCCCAGCCAGGTGCAACGGGTCCATGGCTTCCTCGCCGCAGAAGTCGAGGGTGCACGACGAGACCGTGAGCGGGCCGCCGTGCAGGGTCAGGAACGAAGGCCCGGCGGGGACGGCGCCTCTGTACTCGAATGCCCGGAGCTCCGACGCGTCGGTGACGACGACGAAGGCCAGGTCGTGGCAGCAGCGCAGCGCCAGCGTGCGGAGGCGCGCGTCCGGGACCGAGAGCGCGGTGAGCTTCGCGCACGCCTCGAGCGTCAGCGTGGCCAGGTGCCTGCACGACGCGGTCCCCACCGGTGACGCTGGTCAGGTGCAGCGTGTCCAGGGACGGCAGCGCGACGGCGGACGACGGCAGGTCGTCGAGGCAGCAGTAGCCAAGGCGGAGCGTGCGCAGCGCGGCGCACGTGAAGATGCTTCTCGGCGCGACATAGTCGTCCTCGTCCTCGTCGCTGGCGGCGGCAAGTGGAGTCGTCTTCTTCGCGGCACGGCAGAGAGAGTAGGGACGATCGCAGACGGGCAGGTCACGGCAGAGGCCGGCGCAGGTCGAGGTGGAACTCGTCGCCGGCCTGCTGCACGGCGTAGCATAGCCACATGTCCACCAGCCCGGCGTTCAGGCGGCCGCTAAACTCGTCGAACCCGACGCGGAGCGCGCGCAGCGGCACGCCCGCCGCGCCGCCGCCGAGGCGGAGGCGGCCGAGGATCGCGGCGCTGACGCGGTTGACGAAGGGCGGGACGAGCTTGACGTTGGGGCACGGGCCGTAGCCGGGGCTGTAGCAGCATCCGTAGTCGGAGTCGTCGTCGGAGTCCGGCTGCGTCTCCGGCTCGTCGAGGGAGATGGTGTGCACGTGGGCGAAGACGTGGCGATACCGCCGCGAGAGCGCGGCGGCCCGCGCCGCCTCGTCGGCGGGCAGGAACGACAGGACGTGGCCAGCGTTGCAGGTCATGTCACAGGAAGGAATTCTGATCGCACATTTGGCACGTGACGTTTCTAAAGAAAAAAAAAACCTGTGGCATGAGGCTGGACACTTGGCACGCTGACATGGCACATGTCATTGCTACGAGCTGGCGTCGGCCTAATAATCGGCCAGTCCACCAGTTATTACCGTGTGGCTAGGATTCAGATACAACTCGAGTCTCTAAGCCTGTTCGTTTGACTGTGGCTTGTCGTAAACGATCGTAAATTTTCAGTCGGAACAGTATTTTTTTCTCACACAAACCAGTCAGCAGTACTTCTTCACGAACCAGCAACGAAACGAATCAGCCAACCGAACAGGCTTCTGTCATTTGATCCATCCATGTCAAATTATGAGGTCGGAAAAACGTGGCAGACATGTACTGGATCATTTCTCCAACTCCAGTCCAATAAATAATGGTGAATAGCTTTCTGTGCGTTTCGGTATCGAAGAACGGTCGTTATCTACAATTTGCACTTTTGCAGTGCAACCACGCGTGAGGCAGCATTCGCTTCTCTTCTTACTTGTGTCTGTCTATTCTCGTTTTCTTCCTTTCCTTTTTTTCCCTTTTCTTTCTTCCTTTTTGGAAATGGACACTATTCTAATTGTAATAATGTCTTATCTACTGTTAACATAGTTTAATTGGTATCCTTTCAAGTCTCAATGGTCTGGCTTTACTAAACCATCTTCGAGGTCTATGTAGCTTAGCTACTACCAGGGGCGGAGCCAAGGCCCGGCCACCCTAGGCCAGTGCCCGGGCTCACCTGGTAGTAGATGTAGTATGTATACTACAAGAGTGATGATAATCCTAATACTACTACCAGCATCAATGCCTATACCAAGTAACGTATTGCCAGATAGGCCAAGGTCAACAACCCATCACAATTGTAATAAGATTTAGGCTAACTTGCATTGAAATGATTTTTTATATATAGGTCCTTAGATAGCGTTTTTGGATCCACATGCCTAGATTTTAAGAATTCGGATAGCAAAAAACACAAAATTCTAGAATTCCATCCAAACAACCTAGAACCTAGAGGATTCTAACACACAGACACAGAATCTAAGAAACACCAGAATCCGGATTTTAGAATCTCATTCAAACAAGACATAATAGTAGTAGATTGTTAGGACCCACTACACTAGCCAAGAACCCTATAACTGAAACATGTAGTTAGGAACCCACTACACTAGCCCAAGAGCCAGGAGCTAGAGCCTTTTTTATAGAGGAGCCACAGGTACAGAAATGTGGCTTTTCTTGGCTCCTTCTCACAAACATAATATAAATTATTACAAAATTATGACTTGTGTTGTTTTTGCCAAACGTTTTCTAAAGAACTTAAGTTCCACCAAAAAAGATATTCCACATGTGGCTTTTCTAAAGAACTTAAGTCCTCTAAAATGACTTCGGCTGTAGATTCTAAAATGCGAGTAATTTATTTTTGTTTTAAGTTAATTTTTTAACTTTAAAACATCTGTAAACTTTGAATTAGTTTCATTAAATCTACAGCATAATTTGGTTCAAATTAGAAAACAAATATTTCAAGACAAAACTGAAATGACATAAATCAAACAAAACAAGTGAACAAATAGTCATTTGGATAAGTTTCTTCAGGGGAACCAAATAATTCATCAGGTTAAAAGTCTCCCATCTAACACAAGTGGAGTGCATTTGTAACAGTAGGTTGTTTGTACGTGTATTTTTAACATTTTGTTTACGCCAAAATTTGGAAAGAAGAACGTAGGAACTCGAAGCTTCAAGGAGTGTGTCATCAAGGAATCGATTAGATGTGAATCGATATCAGCTGATTTAGATGTGATGTCAGAATCGGCTATTTTATGGATGACGTCCGCAGACGGTGTCAATGGACTATGTTTGAATGGTGCCAGAAAGATATGTCGGACTCTACAAATAAGATTAGGGTCCAAGTTATTATTAAATTAGAAAGTTTTCTTTTATTCCAAGAATTCTAATTAGTCGTATTTGAGTAGGATTCATGTTTAGGTTTCAGGTACAAATATTAGACCCTGGTTATTATAAGAAAGGACGAACACACAATCACTACAATCTTTCCAGCTTTCGCCATCGTATTAGGAGTAGGAGTACTGTAGATCTCGGCGAGTTCTTCAGCAAACAGGGCTGCATCGACTGATCAACCTCCAGCTTGCTTATGAGTACCGTCACGACTTGCATTACGCTTGTAAAACTGCATCAGCTGATTGATCTTTTATGGGCCATAATATAAGTTAGTTATTGATTTGTATCGTAGTTTGTAAGACTGCATCAGCTGATTGATCTCTTATGAATCATAATATAGATCAAAGTTATCGATCTTGTATTAAATAAATTGTTCTTTAATACAATATCATCAGTTATCGAATCTGCTAAGATTAGTAAGATTTTCCTTACTGTCTTTGGTTGATTCACCAGTTATCGATCTTGTTATAATTAATGTTTTACTGATTATAACAAATCATCTGATTGAGATAGAGATAGATTGACATCATATCATCTTAATTGGTCGTCCTCTGATCTGATCACGCTTTAAATCTTATAATTGATGGCTTAATTCCGCTAGATCGACTGTTTTATCTCTATACCAATCAAATATAGTATGCATCCAAAGACATGTTTTAATCTTGAATAAGCTCACTAGTTAATGAGATCTAATCTAATGACACTACCATAGCTGCATCGATCCGGTCGAACCTCACTGGTAAGACTTTAGATTAGAAATTATCGATTAGTAGTCTTGTTTATGATCAATATATGTACTCTGTTTGTTTGCTATGACTGCATCGGCTATTTTAGCCGATTTGCCTATACTCTCACGCATATAGCATGTTTTCATGAATCTGTGAACATATAGATGGTTTTATAAATTATTTGGCTTTAGTTTGTTATCATTATCATAGCTGCATCGATCTGATAGAACCTCACTATTGATGATAAAAGATTAGATTCAAACTGTTTGTAGTTTCATTTAAATTAGAGAGTCGAATTGTTCACATGTTATACTCTTTTTATCAAACTTATCGGCTTGACACTTTATATTGATCATGTTCTATTTAGCCGATGATGCTTTCTTATATCGCTTCTTATAGATACGTTGGATATCGACTATTTAGTCGATAGCCTTATTGAATCGGCTATCTAGCCACACATTTAGAATTGTTTGGTGTAACACCAACATGTTCCACCTTTAATTACTGATAAGATTTTCTCTCCTTGTCAATTGCACGTCAAATTGACTGGCATGTCGTTGGATTTTCAGAATCGGTTGGTTCTGTGTTGAAGCCAAGCAGATCTCTAGTCTCATTCTACTCAGATCTTCTGGCTTGCTATGTGTTAATCACATCGCCATATTTTTGTGTCAACACACTTTTTGGCACGTCCGATGGGACCAAAATCGTCATGGCGGTTCACAACAATAAGGACATTCTTATGGTACCTTATGAAGACTTACCTGACGTGGATAAAGATGTCATTGGTAAGGCTATAGAGGAGTTTCAGAACAAGTGCTTGTTGTCATACACCAAAACACGTGACAATAAAGTTATTCAGAAATATCTATTGCCGAGAGTTTTGATGCATGAACAGTCGGATACAGACGAAGCTGATGATATGCGTTTCTTTGCAGAAGCTGTCAACAAATCTGTTCATGATATAATGCTGAATCATAATACAACTTTCTTGAATACATTCCACAATACCATGAAGGGGGTGTTTCATGGATTTCCACTTGATCAGGTTGGACCAGCTTACTATAATATTCCACATTCATTGACTCAGGGGACTAATCAAGCCGTTACTAGCCATCAAAAAGCAGCACTAGTTAAGAGTGATGATGCCCAGGCAATTCAGAATTCATCTGAGCCAATTCAGGGTGCTACTATTAGTCAAATACAATATAATCCTAGATCATCAGTGCAGCATGTGCAACAGCCGACAGGGCAAGTTTAGAATCAGATGGTTAATTTTAGTACATCAGGCCAAATATCACCGTCGGCTGAAAAAATAGCGCCATCGGTTTAAAGGATTCGTAGAGATATAGATCCTAATTTTTTTCAATCAGAGATTTCAAACAGTAAATCAGCAAGAGGCTCGACAGATAGATATTTCACAAGGATATCATTATGGTTCATATTATAATACCCTCAATATGATTCCAAATCTAGGATATCAAAGAACTCAGAATTTTAATCTGCAGATGGGTCAGCAATTACCAAGAAATTCAAACTCAAATGCTGATGAATTGTTGCTCAGAGTAACCAAAATGATAAAAAATCAGTTTGGTTTAAAACCAAAAGGGCAGACTTTTTGTACAAACGTCCATATCCAGAGTGATATGATTTAGTAGCCCTTCCTATGAATTACAGGCTTCCAGAATTTGCTAAGTTCACTGATCAAGATAGCACAAGTACAATAGAACATGTCAGTCGATATCTTACTCAGCTAGGTGAAGCCTCTATTGAGGAAGCACATCGAGTTCATTTTTTCTCTTTGTCCTTGTCAGGACCAGCTTTCACTTGGTTTTCATCACTAGCGGTTAATTCTATTGTCAATTGGAGTGATCTCGAAAAGAAATTTCATACATATTTCTACACTGTGATAGGGAAAAGAAAGATCATAGATTTGACAACTATAAAGCAAAGGGCTAATGAATCGGGTGCTGAGTTCCTTTAGAGGTTCCGAGAAACAAGAAACTTATGATTTTCGTTGAATTTGACTGATGATCAGCTAGCTGCGTTAGCCGTTCAAGGAATGTTGCCAACATAGAGAGAAAAGTTGCTTGGGCAAGAATTTGACAATTTAGGTCAATTGGCTCAATGGGTGGCGGCACTTAATAGTCAATTTCAGAATATGCGCAGAGATACCTGATTCCAGAAGAATGCTGCAATTGCTGAAGCTTATAATCCATATTTAGTCGATGATGATGATGAAGATGAGAAAATTGCCGCAGCTGAATGGAATTAGGGTAAAAAGATAG